ACTAGGCGTAATATTAGTCTTTTTGTGTAGCCCATTATTTGATCAGATGTTTGTGGAAGCTTTTTCAAAATTTTTTGCCTCAGGGTAGTAAATACCACAAGGTCAGAAGATACGGGGAGTGCTGCTGGTTCTGGAGTAGAATTCCCATACTCCTTAGCTTCCAGGCAATACTAAGGAGAGACAGAAAAGAATTATGGCTTCCAATTTCAGGTGATGAGGAAAAGAAAAGAACAAAGATAACTCTTGCAAAGTGTGTACATACCACCAGCATAGGCGGCAATATTCATTCGTGGCAAACATTGATTATGTCCAAGAAAGAGAAATAATGAGGGAAGAAGAATACGTAGGTGATTAACATTAAAAAAATTACGTTAATTTAATACCGTTGACATTGTAAAATATAACCTTGCTTAATGTCTCGTAAATTCACGAACAAGTGTGCATTGCATATGCTAAAAGAGTTTGATGAATGGTTACGGGTCACGAAATATTTGTCGCGAAGCCTTGGGAATAGTTCTTTGGCAAAAAGATGTCTTGCTGCAAGTTACGTCCGTCATTAGATTCTTTTTCCATACTTTGCATATTGACATATCCATATTAATTGTAACTTTGTTGATAAACGGACTTTTCAAATGCAATGAAAGGTACTGTAGTTGTAGCATATTTTTTGCTGATTCTTTATTGGAACTGCCTTTCAAAGCATACGTGGTAAAACAAGAAATGGGACGCGGCTATTTTTTACTAAGCATTTGCTGCTTTTTTTTTTTTTTTTTTTTTTATGTATGAAAAATCATACATTTATGAAATGTTAAATATGGCATTTAAATTAATTGAATCAAATAAATTTTTTATGGAATGTTTATTAAATATGTCAAAAAATAAAAAGGCTTTATTTCAACATTTCTTCAGGTAATGCCATTTAAATTTTTAATTAAAACTTTATATTAATAATATGTGGCATTTTCAATTTTTATCATTATGAGAAAGTTTTTGAAAATATTCATCATGATGTGTTGGAGAAATATAAGGTAATAATCCATGATGCAGTACAGTTTTTGAGTTTATGTAGCATAATTTTTTAACTAAATATTATGCTTTTATAGAAAGTGGACTTACACCACTACAAATGTAATTACAAATGTAATTACTTTGAAAGTGGACTTACACCACTTTCAAAGTAATTACATTTGTAACTTCATTAATTGCGTAAATTTATATTGACAAAGTGAACATTTTAAAGGATTTTTTTTTAGGGGAAGGGAACTGTCTATAGATAAAAAGCTCATTGCATTGTTACTATTCACTCACTTTTTGTCAAAAATGGACTTGCACCATTTTCAAAGAAAATGGCTCAAATAAGAAACTTATTAAGTACATTGAACCTAAACAGAATTTGCTTTCAGTGTAATTTCTTCGAAAGTTTACTCTTAAACATTTTGAAACAATGAAATTAACATACTGGATGTGAATTTTGGCGAGTAGGGATGATTAGGGATATAACTTTATCTCGGGAGGAAAATCTTCGAAATTAGTTTTTTTGCAAAAAACCTTTCACAGCTTTAGACTTACTGTAACAGCTTTAGACTTACTGTAACTCAGTGAAATATCCTAAAGAATCAAACCGAAAGTTACATTAAGAACGTTCCAAAAGTTTCTTATTTGAAAATTAAAGCAAGTATTTTCAAAAATGTCATAGACATGAATTTATAATATATTAAGTAGTGAATGTATAAAGTTATAAGTGAAGAAATGTAATATGAAGTTATAATATGTAAGTAGTATATGAAGAAGTTATAATGTATAATTATTATGTTGTAGCTTTTAAAATGACATTTACGTATATAAATCATTTGAATTCTTAAGTTTAGAAGGATTGAGTGAGAGAAGCCAACATCATGCATTTTCTTTTTTATTCCATTCACGTAAAAACCATTAAAAATTTCGGTAATATAAAAATTATTTTGATATGAAAAATAACCTAATAATTGTAAAAGGGAAAAAAATTGCAGATCTCTTTGTTATTCGAAACCAAAAATGACCTCTGGAAATTTTCTTTCGTTGCTTGATCATACTCGTTGCTGACATTACTTCAAGAAGATCGTACTTCATGTAGTATATCTTCTGAGTAGGATTAAGAGAAGGCCGCATTTCATATAATGTAAATTGTAATTAATTCCAAAAAGCAATATTTCGTTTAGTTATACATCAGGCTATGTTCTATGATTAATATGGCAAAACCGCATTTTGTAAAATATAAAAAAGTGCATAAATTCTACGATTAATGCGGGAAGAATATAAAATTTTGATGCAGTAAAATCTACGAATATAGAGATCAATAATAATGTTTAATTTAAAAAAATATTTTTCTCACGAAGAGAATTATGAAATAATCTAGAAAGTTTCTTTTACTCAAAATGAAAAGAAAGTTCCTCATTTTTTATTGAACGTGTTGCTGTTAAAATTTAATAAAATGATAATTCGATAACTCTTTTATGGAGAAAATGAAAAGAATGGTTGGTATTAAAGCTTTAATTTCAACGTCGAATAAAAAATGAAAACATTTCTGACAGAAATTTAAAAATAGTACAAGTAAACGTGTAATGCTAATTGTCTTCGGAGCTGTTAAAAAGGTTCACTTTTTAAATTATTTATGGGCAAGCAAGTATTCTTCATAAAGACAGAGAGCTGAACAGAGAATTTAAAGAAAAGAATTTAAAGAAAACATTAAAGAAAAGGAAGTTCAGCTTGAAATACCATCCTATTAATGCAAATGAATATAATATTATGCCCAATATGACAAAGGAAATAAGAATTACACTGTTTAAAGAACGATGAAAGATTTATAAATCACAATCTTTTATGATTACTTCTTTAGTAACATATTCCCAAAAAAACTTACAAATGTAAAAACCTCCTTAATGATGTGAAACCTTATTTTGAGGCTAATAAACATCTTTGGTGTCTTTTTCATGATCGTAGTGTTGCTTTATACCTGCGCAAAATATCTTCGACTTAAATATATCCTAGTAAGTTCTATGAACGTTGTTCCATTCATGCGTAAGATATCTTGCAATAAAGCAGAGGCTCCATGATCTAAATGTATTGGATGCTTTGGTTATGGTCGTGTTGTTGCTTCATAACAGCACAAGATGTCTTGCCGTAAAATAGACGCTAGTAAATTCAGTGAATGTCTTGCATGTTTTGATTATAGTCGTGTCGTTTCTTCATACTCGCGCAAGATAGTTTGCGGTAAGAGGGTTGTTTGGTTCAATCTAGTCACCTTCTTGTATCTTGTGGTTGAGATTGACACATGCACATTATAAATGATGCTTACAAAGCATTTAACTATTGGACTGTGTAGATAATTTCAATGCCACAAGACACCTGTTTCTATCTTGGAAAATTTCAGTGTAAGCTATTTCTAAGGCATTTTGAAAGTATGTAATCTATAAATTATATAATTTAAGTTTTTATTGAAATATACAACAGGAAACCATAGATCATTGTTCTTTTCTTAACAGTTGTCGTCTAAGTAAAGTGATTTGTTATTACAAAAAAAGAACATATTTTTTAAGCCCCACCTGTGCCGAAGCTTTGCCGAAAAGAACAAGTAATGTCCTGAATTTGACTCAGAGCATCTTGAGGATTGAGATACGGAAATCTGGTACGCTTTTTCTTCTACCAGACTCTTGAAAGAGCTTTCAATATGACACATTTTCATTGCCCACTCTGCAAAGTCCATAAAGTCACAGGCATTTGCGACTTGCACTTCAGCTCAGAGATGTGATCAGTCATAGAACTTATACCATCTAATGCGGAAAATGTAATAAATAATTTTGAGGGAGGATTTACCTCCTCCCCATTTATATAAAGAAATATATTCTTTAAGAAAAAAGTGTTTTATACCTCATATAGATTTTAGGATATCAGATTTTCTTTCAAATGAAGTTATAAATGTGATTGTTTCCGAACAACAATTACAAAATATGCTTCCGAGATTGAAAGATACGATTTCAGGAAGAGAAGTTTCATGGTAAAGAAACTGAGGAGTATCTGTGAAGAGGTGTTTTAATTGCATATTGTTAGGAGAGTTTTCGTTGCATATCTCTGTAAACAGGAACGTTGTCTCATGTTGAAGTTATGCATGACATAAAAGTTCGAACTCTTCAGGTAACTAGTATGTTTAGCTGCCGTGACTAGATATCAGAATAAGAGAGCTTATCCCAGTGTCTTACCAGGCATTATCGTTTTCGACAGCCACTTCAGCCCCGAGCCCCTCCGCGAAGTTATATTACATATGTATTTCGACCAAAAATATATTGACATAATTTATATTTCGACCAAAACGTTGAGGAATTATACGTATTGAATACAAATATTATCTTTCGTTGTTCAAAAAATAAATGTAATTTGAATATGGCTTTATGCTTTTCCTAAAATATCCACGTGAATAAGCTTTTTACACCGAATAAATGGATGCTCCGAAAACATAAGATAATGATATGCATTTGAAACGTGACATTAAATTAAACGAAATATTTGTTTACTCCTCCGTTGTTAACATGCTGCAATTTGAGAATGCTGAAAAAGATAGAACAGTGTTGTTTCTCTTAAAAGACTTAGTCTTGTTTTGGTTTCTTGCCTTCTTTCATCAAATTACGTACTTTGATTGAGCATCCGCAACGAATCTTAAAGTTTTACTTCAATTTCTGGTTTTTAATTGCGTTAAAGTATTTCGAGTCTGATTGGCGGCACTGTTAATTTACTAATTACTAATTTACTAATTGCAAATTAAGACACAAGCAAAACTTACAATAGTGCATTTAAAGAGTATTAAAGTGTACATAAGGTTTCATGAGAAAGGTTTTTGTTCAGTAGTGATAACAATTTAAATCTTCATAATAACCTCTGGAAGAGGTTTAGTAAGAAAAGTAAGAAATTTGAGAAAAAAATATAAAAGCCTTTTTCTTCTTCGAGAAAAGAAATTAACTCTCACTTACCGACTACCAAAACGGGGGTAAAAACGTCTTCACTTCCCAAGGCTGTGCAGTTCCACCTCCTGTAGCGGAACTGTTTCTGGCACTCTAGTTTGCCCATCTTTAAGCCGTCACCAATAGCCACTATCAAGTGTGGCCTCTCTCTGCACATCCTCTCTTGAGCAAGCACGAGGCTGGGAATCTTTTCACAAATCATGCTGGCTGTTAAAGCTACTACAGTAGACATCAATCTGAGGAGGGAAAATTAAATAATCAAACTAAAACCAATAATTAAATTTCAACCATTAACTAGTCATTCCTCCTAATAAGGAAAAACGAATAATTAATGGCTCAATGCAATTCAAAATCAGTAAAATCTGAAAAGCGCTTCAAAAACGCTAGTAAAATTTACCATAAAACTGAGATTGCTACGTTACATCTTCAGCTGATGTTGTTTGGTTAATCATTTAACTTGAGAGCCAGGAAAAGGCAAGTAACGTTTTCAGCAAAACTCTTGTTCTATTTACTATATCAGGTGTTACAATGAAATTATTTGCGACAATTACACATATTTTGTCCAAGACGCATGAAAAAAAATAACCACTTCTGGCGGTTAGTGTGAATGACCACCGCCCACAGAGCACATCCCTACAAATCAGTCTCTATGATACTCATGGAAACAGTTTTTCGTTTTCAAGCAGAGTGCAACTTTGCTTGTGCTGCATTTCCACACTGTTTTTACAGGCTTTTTCTTGGTGCTGCAGAGTGAACATCGTGATGTTGTCTTCGATGGCTGATGCTTATTTTCTTGAAGACGAATTGCTGCATCAACTACTGGCTTAATGTTTCTTGATTGCCATCTATTGAGCTACAAGAGAAGTTCAGAAACAGTCAGTCTTTTTTAAGACACGAGTGAGTAAGACCACTCACACGAGTAAGTAAGACCTTTCATTAGAAAAGATGGTTACTGTAGGTAAACCACCGCCATTCAACGACGATACTTCACTTCGAAGAAAGTTGTCAGATTTCTTGGCAATAAGCATCATGAAATGAGTGCATCGTTTTTCCAAGAGTAATCAAGCATGTGCTACAAGCAAAACTATCAAAACTACCAGCAAATCTATAAGTGTAAACTTGGCGTTTCGCATGCATTCGCAGTCTTCAAAAGACTGCGTATAAAACACCACACGTGCAGGTGAGGATGGGGATCGTCGCAAAGTTACGTAAAGGTGTTGGAACCTTTCCGCAAGTTGACCACTGCTTGTCAAGATACCAAGGTGCTCGGGCATTGTTCTGAGGTTTAGTTTGTACTATGAAGAGCACAACCTTCATCAAGATGTCGGGACTCCCAGGTGAAGATTTAAGCGAGTAGTCGCCTACCTGTATAAAGGTGCCGGCATCTTTATGGAATTGTTGTGCTGACGATTGACGGGACATGAAATTTCAGCACTTTGACGCTATTAAGTAAATAATTTGATCCATCAGTAATGAGTTTGGGACGAGTTAACGATGTAGGGGTTAAGAAAATGTGTTTAACCATTTAACAATTAGCTTATCTTTCGAATTTATTCATTCCTTTACTTAATGTCATTTTTTCCTTCCAATAAATTTATTGCCTTTATTACATAAACACTGTAACTATGCTTAATATTTCATCCATTTTCAATCGTGTGGTAAGGCAGACTTACGGCCCATTCTCGATAACATTTTCTACCCCTGCATATATAACTGAAATATTTAGGCGTAATTTTCCATATAATATTGAATGCCATATGACAGTGTCTATTGTTTCAGCAGTGATCCTCGAGTAAGTTGTGTTATGAAGTAATAAATATGTTTCGTGATTTAGTCATGTTGTGGTGCCAATATTATTAACGGGCATGATGAAGATGTTGATGTTCCCAACAGATATCACAGTTCTTTTATATAACAAGTGTTTCGTAAAGAAATTGCTTAACATGTCCGAACAACTCAAACCTTGAACAGTAACTTTCCGAAAATGCAGGACAGTACCAAAATGGGAATCAAATTACAGAGGTTCTTGAGAGAAAGGGTTCAAATGACAAGTGACGGAAGACGCTAGCACCACCCTTCTACCATAGCGGTTAACTGGTATAGCGCCGTGTCCCCCTTGTCTAGAGAACCCCAAGGTGTTATGGGGATGGGTGAGGGACCACCCCGGTCTACTCACACCAGTCATACATTGCTATTTGTATAAATATGCTGCAATTGTTGGCTATGTTACTTATGTTTATTCCAATAATAAGATTTGCCCTTGAAGTAGTGCAGTGCCAGTTAAGACAAAGGGTACAACAGGACTCAAAGTGACACGAATGCTCCAGTATGAGTCCATCGAGTTTCGTAAGGCTGTAAGGATACCCCGAACTACTCCGGACTACTCACACCAGTCATACATTGCTATTTCTATAACTATGCTGCAATTGTTGGCTATGTTACTTATGTTTATTCCAATAATAAGATTTGTCCTTGAAGTAGTGCAGTGCCAGTTAAGACAAAGGGTACAACAGGACTCAAAGTGACACGAATGCTCCAGCATGAGTCCATCGAGTTTCGTAAGGCTGTAAGGATCCTAAGTTTTACTAACGTTTATTTTATTTTAAAACTGTACTATCACTTCTTATTTTCTACTTCCGGCCAGAATTAAATGCTTTAAACTTGTTTATACAAATTGTCTTGCTAACACCAAGTACTTAAGTTGTGGCTTTTTGCCAAGAGAGAGAGAGAGAAGGAGTTAGAGGAAGTAAACCGCTTGCCACTGTAGTTTTTATGAGTTTTCATTCTGTTGCTGGTTGCCTTTAAGGCCAGAGGTTTAGCCCTCTTGATAATTGCAGACGTATCGTAGTTTTAGAAGCTCGGCGTACTACATGCATACCTTTTTTAAATAAAAACCAGTCTTAGTGCTGGGCATTTGTATACTAATTCAAAGTTAGCTTTTAGTTAGAGTTTTAGTTAGTAGTTTTAATATTTTTACGTTTAGACCACTAGTGGTTGGTATCTGTATTCCGAAGTTCGGAAATACCTGTAAAGTATTGAAAATAAAGGGTTTCGTATACCCTTCCTGCTTGTGTTGTCTACTTCACACCTTCCTGACATAGCTCCCTGTTCCTATTCAGGACCATTCATGTTTCCAAAGCAAATCAAGAGAAACGCAAGTCCTGACAAGGCGCGTATTGGGATGAGAGCATAACTGCGCGCAATCGCAGTTTATACAGGTATTTAAAGAAAAGGGTAAAGATGCAGATCTCTTGGTTTTAGATCCAGCACACGCTTTCTTCATCCTTTCAAAATGCCTCATTTTTTTCCCCCGGCCGTAAGTTTGTTATATATAACGATTCTGCTTGGAAGAGGTCGTGCCATCCTTAACTACTGGTGGCACTCGCGTCATCTTTGTGCTACATTTCATTGTGCCACATATTATGTAACATAACGTACATTTTTGTAAAACATATCCCATTATATTAAGTGGTAATGCGAGATAAGTGTATGACACGTGCTCCATTATGACGAAGCACGTGATCTCTTTTGACGATAATAACGCTTCAAACCTCACATATACATTAAATTTGTCTCATCTGTGGCTGCAAATTGGAGGCGACAGCGCCACATTACAAGAACCATTTTGGGGTTTGCAGGCGATTGAAAAGTGTAACACTTTGCATCACCTCTGAAAGTTTCGTAGTCAAAAACTTGTGCATTTTATTTCGATAGTTCTGTTTTCAACATCCTAATTTCGCATATTTTTAATTGAAAAAAAAAACTATTATAATAAAGCGAGAAAAATCTAGAAAAATACTGCAATGATTCCTTGACCTAAACATACCGGTTAATGAAACAGGTATATGGAAGATTTGTTTTTTATTGTTAGACAACTTTATATTTATTAGCAATTAAAGCAGCATTAGAAAATTATATTTCACCTTTAAATTAGCCAGTTCTGTTACGCTGAAAACAATTAATCTCTAAGGCATTTTCTCCCTCTTTTCCGCATACCTTCGGCTTGTAACTCGAACCATGCTCAACGGGTATTCGAGAGGTCCGGAGTTTGAATCTTGACAAGGGCACTGCACATTTCTTCAGTTTCTAGACTTCGAAAAAATAATTCTAAAAAATGACTCTACAAGTGACGGCCAAGCTAAAAGGTGGTGGACGATAATTCTTCACCAACTAGTGCTGGCGCCTAGGACACCCTTCTTCCTAACCGCCCTTTAGATGGGGAAGAATGCATACCATTTTCTCGCTGCTTACCGTTTGTCTTATTGGTATAACTGGAAAGCACGAAAACTAGGAAACGGAAATTCCAGAACTCAAATCACGGAGACGACAGTGAAAATATTTCACGTTTACTTTAAATCTTCGAAAAGGCAGAATTTATCTTGAATGATCCAAAAAATTATAAATAAGTCTACCACTTTTTATCATCTCGTAAATATGGGAACGTGGCACATTTCCGACATTTCATAGAGCCGACAGTCTGTCAGTCTCCCCAAGATCAACAAAAGCAGTTCAAACATCGGTTTCGAATCTGTGCAGATATGGATTCTACACCAGTATCCCTCTTATGCCATTGTCAATCGTATGCAAGTGCCCTAAAAAATAACAAATTGATGAAATTTTATTTCGGCGAAGATATAAAGATTCACTTTACTGAACCCGGGAACGTGATTCGCCATAAACACAGTTGTAGCACTTTTAAAGTTCGCCTACCAAGAGCTGTAGTTGGCAGCGTGTCAGAAGAGTTCACTTTTTATTTAGGGGATTTAGGGGAGAAAGTTACCCATTCCATTCTAGTCCATATTAAAAGTGAGTTTAATTATTATCATTTAAAATTTATTTGGAATTTTTTATTCCAGAATTTCATAGTTAATTCTATGTAAAAAGAATATTTTAGGGAATCTCAAAACATCAGTTGAAAGAAATCAGTCCAGAGAATTAGCGGTTCGATTGAGTCGATCTTTTCGATCCTACTGCTCGACTTTTTTTCTTCTTTTTTTCGTTTTTCATTCAATCATAGCACATCGCTCTTGAGTCCCTGCCCGTTCTCGATCGTATTCGTCAAAGCTATTGTTAGGAGCGGTGAGCCTTAAAAAAAAATTCATTTAGTGAGGAAAGAGCTCTCATCTGATTACATAAAAGTGGGGTTTTGCTCGTCCCTGTTCTGTGAGGTGACAAATGTGCATTATTCTTTTCACTCAATATTATACCAATATCAAAATTTACATTTCATTGTTT